TATGCATGTAATGATTGTCCAAATTATGAACAGAACACTCACCATTTACTTGTGCAATCACTGGATAAGGTATATCCTACAGATATTAAATAACAGAATGTAAATACTGACCAACTTAATTAAATTTACATGTTACAGTTCAATACAGGGCTCAAAAAAATGGACAGTCGATAGGCAATGTCTGGCCTAATCTGGCAGTTATTATCTGGTAAAACACCTCTTAGGTCAGTCCCCTTGACTGGTCATAAGTTCATCAGTCTGTTGTCACCAGTCACAATTTCCGAGTGCTTAGATGCCATCATTTTTTGTCAGCAATGTCAAGTAAAATAGTCACCTGAATGAGAGTCATAACTTCTGTACACCTGTGGAACACTTGTTGGTGATACTCTGTACTTCGTTCTTCTGACTGCAAAGAAATGAAGGTACTGGATTAAGGAACTTACTAACAACTGGTATGACAATAGTGCAACAACTTCCAGCTGATCCAAGAAAAAATGTTAGCCATTCAGAATTGAGAAAATTCGCAAAATCAAAGTCTCTTTTATTCCTTTTGAAATTATGGATTTCCAAGCTACCAAATGAACAAATACATTGCTAATAAGCACTTGATAACAGTGACACAATTATTAATAAGTTATAAATTTTTATTGCATTTTTCCTGGTCAATTGTCATGACAACTCAGTTTTGCAGTGATGTCGTGGTATGTCACAGTATTTCATATCAGCTGGTTAGTAATGAAAGAATATAATATGAATTATATTTATCGTTATCATTTCTATTATGTTATTAATCATATATGTAATCATTTATTCATTGATAAATTTAATAACCAACCAGTTCCTTCAAGTCATGACCAGACGAGAACACTGGGCCATTGGCTGACAATATTATAACCCTTAGTTCATTATCCAAATTGTGCAAGAGGTTCGCCTTGATGGCATTCAGCATGTCTAACGAGAGAGCATTTCTCTTCTTTGGGTTGTTAAGAATGATTCTTCTTATGCCTTTATCTTGATTGCATACGGTTAACGAGTCTTCTTTACGACTAACAGGACTTCTACTGAAGGATCTTGATAGGAAGACAGTAGATATCTGTGGATTGAGTCAATTAGAAACCAATATGCAGATCAAAAACTTGTCGAGATTTCGAGAACCGAAAATATAAAATAAATGCAGGAAACAAACCTGGCATTGATTGAAGTGCAATCTGTTTAAGTATCGAAGCATGTTTTTGCAGATAAATTATTAGATTATTATTGAACTGTTGATTTTGTTTTGATCTCTTTAAAAATGAGCCTGCAGTCATCTCGTCAGCGGTGTATCTGACACAGGAATCCCAGTAAGTACGTATTTTTCTTTCTCTCTTTTAGTGTGTAACTACCGGATTTATACCAATTATCGCGTTGAAATGCCAATAATCCTTCTACCCAAGATAAGTTAAGGCTTGAAAAATGTTAAAACCTATCGAGAATTCAAGTCCGACATTCTTTCAAGAGATCATTGGGGTAACCCCTAGCACTTTCCCTCAGTCCCAGGGGACTGTTAGACTGTTAGTTCTTAAAACGAAAAGTACTTACAGTGTATCAGTAACCAGTTTTTACGAATTACAATTGCGAATGTTGATTGCCGATTTTCACAAGTTGTTTTAAGTAAAAATATCTTAATTCATTTGTCAATTGGAGTATCAAATTCCCCGATAATAAAAGTTTAAAGAAGCAACGGCACGGTCACTACACGGAAATGACGTCATCCATATCGATACAACGTGAAACAAAATGGTTATTATGCTTCAACATCACACCKGCAACCACTAATATAAAATGATACTAAACTTAACGTCACGACATATTCCTTGATTTTTCAAGGCAAAACAGTGCTCTCTGTAGTCTTGTAGTCTTGACCATCATATGATTATGGAACAGATTTGTATCAGCTGATCCTCCCATATACATTAAACTAAGCCTTTCAGCAGTTATGCAAAGTTCAATTTATTGCGATAAAAAATTAAAATTGAATGATACACTCGGCATATATAAAACATAATCAAATATTTTATTTATTTATTTTAACTGTTTACAAAAAATAATTCATTGATGCGAAAGCTTGCTCAGGGGCGTAGCCAAAATTTGTGTAAGRTCAAGATTTTTTTGTATTATTAGAAAATCATTAGTCTAGTCCCTGGCTACGCCCCTATGAGGCTGACGAGTACATGAGGCCAACTGTGTGAAATTATTCGTGTGTGCTCAAAACAAAACGGTCATTGCATTTAAACTTTGAATCCCGTTTAAGGGTGAAATGGTGACCAAAGAAAACTAAGGAAAATGTGCTTAAAAATGAACTGCGGCTAGCAGATATCAGCCGGGTTACACTCCACTGTCTTCAAACGATCGTTACATTTGGGTAACTTCCATTCTGTGTTGGCACATTGTCATGGCCGCCATAAGTGAGGTTTATGACAAAAGATTTCTTTCTCATTAGATTCCTTCGTCACTAATGTCTGGGCATAAAGAGCTAGCTGAAATACGCAGCCAGTGTGTTCTTATGGCGAGAATAGTAGGTGTGGAGAAGGAAAACAATCATCTCAAACGAAAGACGCACAAAACGTAAATGCAACGGCCCAAATAAGAAGTTGCTCGTGTCAAATCTTCAAAAATGCTTATAAATTTCTAACGTTAAAATAAGCCAGGGATTTTAGTCACCTGTTTCTTTTGCTATTTAAAAAGTTTTAAGAAAATATATCTTTCCGAGTGATTTTTGGTGATAGTGAAAACTTAAAATTGCGCTTGGCAAGTGTGAATGATACGTGTAAAATGTCTATTAATTAAAGAGTTGTGTACTCTAAATTGAAGGTAACTATACTCAGTTTCTCATATATGGAAATTAGAGCAGATTTCCTAWGCCTGGCCATGATATTTAGTCATTGTGACAGCGCGCATAAGCGGTGAGCCAATCAGAATCCACCAAGTTATTGCTCAGTTATGCATGTTTGCAGCACAGGGAGCCGATTATTTAAAAAGATCCATTTAAAAGATCCATTTAAAGAAAAACATTTACAAATTTTTTTTGAAAGATTGAAATTTAATTTATCACACATAAATCATAATCAATACAAAAGCATTGCTTGGGCTCCCTGTGGTATGCAGAATGGAGATTGAAGTGTTGTTTGACAAACGCAGTTCCAATGAATGATATGAAGAAAAGTGGAAGATCTTTTAGGAGTAGATCAAAAACAGGCCCGAGAGATGATGATGAATATGATGAAGAAAAAGAACGTCGAGTGGCTTTTGGCTAATCACGTGCCAATGAAAATGAACTGACACACGTCATATGGTAAGCCAATCACAGTCCTCGAAGTTATTGCTCACCCAATCAGAATGCTATAATGCGATACCGTCACRAACACGGTAGGGCAAGGTGGTACCGTGAATAGAGTATTAGCATGCTACGTCATAACCACCATCTTGGTTGACGATAACAAAGCATTCCTCATTAGCTTCTCTTGTTACATCAACCAAGATGGCGGCTGTTTCATTGTTATTCATATCTCAAAGGATTTTGTGTCACATGGTTGCACACACTGTTTTTTGCCAGTCATACAAAGTCTGCTCTCATTCGCAAACGTAAATATAATCACGTGATAAAGATAGCTTCTGGTGCTATCCATTCATGCTATGCTGTGCCAACGATTAAATACGAAGTGTTCTTTCTACAATATACAAATTGGTTTAAATTTCAAGTCCTAATATCAAATTATGGACTCATTTATAGAACCCTTGCACTAATTTCCGACCTGGGGGTCAAAACAAAGATTTTCCTTCTTTTGAAGATTGAAAAAAAATTGATTTTTTCCTTATGGATTTTTTTTTCTGGATTTTGCACAAGGATTCTTAATATATTTACAATAACTAATACTACATTAATAATTCGTTCCCATCGAGGTAAGTTGACTCTATTGCTGGGGTCAAAGATTCTTCCCCTAGGGACATCCTAGCATTTGAGTCACCCTGCCTTCGTAAGGCTTTAAGAAGTTCAATAAAAATGATGCATTGTRGTCTAGCTTGGGTAGAAACAAATACCGAAGCTAGAACACAATGCTCTATCTAAATGATAATTAATCAAATCCAACCAACCTCTTTCAAGCTGTCTAGAAGATTGGTATTTTGATAATTTAAATGCTATGGGTGCAGCTTCAAAAACAAGGTTTTTCATTGGGTGGTTCAAAAACTTTGAGTTGGACATGTTAAACCCAAAAACAACTGCTACATGTTGAGGCATACGTTTCTAGGAGATCCTGGACTAAGTTTCTATGGAGATGTTTAGCAGACTAGGCTATCGGAGACTCCAGCTCAAAACTCCCATGCATTGATTTCTTGGACAGAACACGGAAGGGGGGGCGTAGGGCCAAAGCTTCTCTAGACATCACTAAAAGTAAGTTGGAGGGTCTAAAAACGGGCAACCATGCCTTTTGCCGTTCTGCCCAGGAATAGACCTATTTACATTAGGCATGGAGTTTTTTCATTTATGACTACGTGTCAGTCCCTTGAATTGCATCTATATTCATGTGTCTTCTCATGCAAAACCATAAAACAAAGCAAATCATACTCTAGGGAACGATACGTTGTCTGAAATGATAAAACACTACACCTAAGCCGAAAAGGTCTATTCCTCGACAATGTGGGAGGAAAGAGCATCTTCTTGAAAAATTTCATTACTAGTAATTTTGTTCCTTAGGTGAACCAACTCATCAACTCAAAATCCTTAATCCACCCATGGTGAGTATATTTCCTAAAGTTAAACTAATGTAAGGTTATTTCCAGCCAAAATTGTGGTCCTTTTACTATTGAGTACCTTCCACATGATCTAGACAAAAGTCACCAATCTGTCGTCTGTCTCACTTGTCGTAGGCTTTGGTCCTTCACTGACAACATCACTCCCGGCTGAATTTCTTTTCGCCTCGTTTACGATAGACTCATAATGACCAGACGCAGAGTCCTTGGACGACTTTGAGGCTGTTGAAGATCTATCTGTTTGAGTAGGTTTGGCATGTTTTGTCAAAACCTCATCGTAATCATGTGAACCTGTTGAAGATCTTTTCTCGCCTTCGAGAGAGCTTGCACTAAGTCTTCCATCAGAATTCCTGGGAGATCCTAGAGGAGGCTTGAGTCGCTTCAGTACACCATTGGGATCTTCATGTGACWTAAGAGACGTTTGATTCTCAGTTCTAATATCTTTTGACTGCGTTATCTTCAAATCGCTTACGGTCTTGGTCGGTCTTGATCGTGATGTGATTGATTTAAWTTCGACTTTAGTCGCCACTTCTTCGTAAGCATTCTCTTCGGATTCTGTTTGAGGCTGAGTTGAAGAACTTGATGGCTGATTATCATTTGCTAAAAACATATTGACAAATACAGGTAATGAGGTTAAGAGTTGATACTTATGAGTGGATTCCGAGGTTAAGCAAAAAGACTGGATCGAGTTGGCATTGCAGTGCATTGTGGGACTATTTAAGGGGACATGTTCCCAAGATGGCGTCTATTTAAAGTTGACATGGAAATGCATTGTGGAGCTGTTTAACGGGACATATTTTCAAGATGGCGTCTATTTCGTATCCTAAAACAGTCCCACAATGCACTGCAATGCCCACTCGACTAGTGATCTTTGATCCCACATTTGGTGATGGATGTCGGTATGTTTCCTATGTCCCTGCCTCACAAAAAGGTATTCTTCGGAGAAGCATCTACATCAAAAAAACATTAGTTTAATAGTGCAGTTTTTGTTGACACAGAGACATTGAATTGAGCCACTAAGTCCTTAATATAAATAATAATAAACTTTAACAATGTCTTATATCTTATAGCTTGGAACCGGGGTGCTTTGCTAATTGGTGAGACCTTTTGTAACGATGAAGTACTGTACGTTCTTTTGCGYATTAACCCGAATGCAAAATAATAGAGATCTTTAGCATTAGGTTTACCGCCAACCGCTAAGGATCACTGTGGCCCAGAAACACGCGCGCAAACACGGAGAAAGACTCAGCTTGTGTGAAATTCAATATTGCGGCCCTTCCAGCAACAACTTCGTTACGACGCCTTGCTAAATCACAGGGAGCCCGGCTTGATGATGCTAAATCGGTAAAACGATCACGTTTCATATGTTGATGACATTACATAATAATCGTAACTCAATACCCCCATATTACAAACGGTCACTACGTAATAGAACTTGTAATGCAATAGTGTTAGATGCCCCGTAAGTAGAGAGAAAGGAGAGAAGGGCTGAAACAAAATATAGTAGCCCTTTTAAAACCTCGATTTTCTAGTCTTGTTTTAGAGTTAGGGCTCTTAAACCTGGATCAAGCGAATGAGTATAGATTAAACCAAATGAGGGAGCGTTGATTTCATAACTTGTGAGCAGTTCTCATGATATTTTCGGCAATTTCGGCAAGCTTGGTTTAAAGTTACGTGCGCCAGCAGTTGATGGGACATGTTTATGATTAACCTAGCCTGATTTGCCACCTCGAGGTATTTTTTCTCCCCGACAGCCAGCTCCACGGAGGGTCAGAAAAAAAACCTCTGCTCGCAGGGTATCCTGAACTATATGCCGGTAGCTCTTCGTATATTTCGGCGATTGATATTTCTTCAGAGCCAACTTCAACGTTTTCAAGTAGCCTGTCCTCGAAATTCACGAAAATAATTCTTAGTTTATAATCGATAACAAACTCATTTAGTATTTTTTTAAATYAGTTKTAATACCYACTATKATGGACGAACTCSKAACTAGTACATTTGAGTACMCGTTCGATGTCATGCTGGTTATGAATAAATTAAGYGTCCCATCAACTGCTGGCGCACATACAACGAATAAACTTCGCTYGTTTCAGCCCTTCTCTCCTTTCTCTCTTCTTAACGCGTGCGTTACGTATTTGAATTTATCACGGTATTAAGTTACGCGTTACAAACACTGGTGTTCTATTACGTAGTGACCGTTTGTAATAGGGGTGTATTGAGTTACGATTATTATGTAATGTCATCAACATATGAAACGTGATCGTTTTACCGATTTAGCATCACCAAGCCGGGCTCCCTGTGGCTAAATGTCGAAAGCTGGAAGTTAAACGCCTGACGTAGCACTGGAGCTTGAGGTTTGCTCTACGCATCCAGCAAAAGGTCTCTCGCACCCTCCAACAAAAAAATACTGCATAGACTTTTTCTGAGATTTCAAAATATGGTGTATTATAGTCTAACTTGGGTACAAACATATTTTAAAGTGTTCGCCATGTCTTATATAGTGTTAGAGATATTACGTGGAGATATTAGCATGTACTTGCTATTTTTTTAATTCAAGAATAAATAAAGCTATTGTATYGTTGTATTGTATTGTGTCGTTGTAAAAAAGCAAGACCAGGATTCACCAGTTCGCTATCTCAGAAAATGTTTATCGGTTACAGTAAAGGCGCGATTACACGAAGCAATTTTCTCTGCAACTCGTCTCGCAACGGCGTTACGACAAAGTTGCATAGAGCCTTACGGTATGTACTGAACCTACAGCGCAATTTGAACAAATGTTGCGACACAAGTTGCGACAAAAGTTGCAGTAATCATTGCCAAAAGTAGAATTCGTTTTCCTATTTTGACAACGATTGCGTCTGCGTTGCACCGTAAGAACACTCTTGCAACTTGTGCCAAAACGCTGTTGCGAAACAAGTTGCGGGAGAAAATTGTTCCGTGTAAACGCGCCTAAACGTAAAKCCATTAGCCTGCGTGTAACCGAACATAAACCGTTGGCTAGGTTCAGTTTGTGTTCGGATGCTCGAAGGTTATAAAGGCCTATAGACTTTTACCTTTATCATCATCTTTCCTGACGGATTCGAGATCAGCGTATAAAGACGGAGGGATAGGGGGTGGGGTCTCGTCTTCGTCGAAACCCTCAGGTAATGCAGTAGCAGGAGCRAATTCATGAGCATGACCAGGGTGCGAAACTTCTGCTGAATGCCTTTTCTTCTTGGCAAGATTCACTTTAGCGTACGTTTCGTCCACTTCGAACATTGTTTGAGGTCTGTCAGAYTGCRGTGAAGGAGGATCTGCGGGCGAGTCAGACAGCGGAGAAGCGTTTAACCCGTCTCCTTCACTCTGTGTTCGTTTACGCACAGTTGAGCTAACATGGATTAGACTCGAAACAGGAGGAGGAGCTGGAGCATGGTGAATCTCGCCAGAAAGAGATTTTTGTCTCTGCTTCTCTACTTGACTGTAACGTTCATCGTCATCCTTCTCTGAGGCACGCTTTTTAGACGGACCTTTCTGTACAACGGCGTAGTCGGCGTCCTCAACCACAATGTCTGATTTTCGCGCATCAAGAACGCCACTTTGTTGCTTTATATCATCAGTAACAACCTCGTATAGACCACTACCACCGCTCGTTTCTGTAGGAATACGAGGCATATCCCGTGAGGCCACAACTGAAACTGCATACTCGAGTCCATTTGCTGGTTTCTTGGGTGGTATACGAGTTTCGACGACGTCGTATTGATTACTTTCCGAAGACAGTCGTTTCATATTCGCGCCTTGGTCGTTGATACACTCGTACAACTCGGAGGCAGGTCGTGATTGGTCCTTCGGTAACAGATTTATTTTATCGTATGTTCTCGTCTTACTCGTGGTGACAGTTTCGTAATCACCATCTTCTAAGTTTTGTTTTGGTCTTTGAGCATGATTCTCTACCATATCATATTGTGCTTCTTCAACGCTAGCAGATGAAGGTCTCGGTGGAAGAGGTATATTTGCAGGTCGACTAGAAGATGGCACATGCTCTGGAGTCGAATTTTTCTGTCTTCCGCTCTTCTTCTTCTTCTTTTCCTTTTTGGTGCTGATGTTCTCCAAATCCTCGACATTGCCCTTCGTCTTTGAAGACTTTCTTCTCTTCCAGAACGATTTTTTTTGTTCTTCATTCTCTTCAGGGCTGCTTTTCGGTTCTTTGCCATTGCTACCCGTTCGTTTTCTCGAGGGTTTGCGAAAAAAACTTTTCTTGGCCCCTTCGGAAGAATCAGTTCGCGTCCGAGCCTCACTGGAGCTGTTGTTCTCCTTTGATTGTTTTCCAGCGCCTGGAGCTTCTTTGTCACTACCCGTTCTTTGTTTTTCAGGAGTCACGTTTTGTGTTYCATTTTCAGGTGCCGAAGATTCCAATTCCACTTCCTCAACGTTTTCTACACTATTTTTAGAGCCAGAATTGCGCGGGCGAGAATCGACCTCTCCCATGGAACGCTTGTCTGGTTGGCTTGACTGACTTGCAGCCCGTCCTTTAGAATTCACTGCACCATTTTCTGTCGTAGATTGAGAGTTCCTGTCACTTTTCTTGCTCTCATTTGTATTTCTTCTGTCATTGCTTGAGTTCTCATTTTCGTTTTTGACAKGCAATTTATGTTCCGTAGTCTTCTGCCCGTCCTAAAAATAGATATAGACGTAAGAAAACATTCGGTTTAGAAAGATTTTGTAAACAAGTTACTTATAAAACRCTGCGACGGTATAAAAAAGTAAAAAAACATAATAAAAAGAAAAAAATATGATAGCGACGTTTCGACTTGTAGCACACGTCTAAACGCCGTGTA